AGTCATCTACCTGGAGGTTACAGGTGAGTGTGTGGAGCTCAGTGTGTGTGTCTGTGTATCAGGTTGGAGCTGCAGTTTATTCCTGAGAGTCAAACATCAGAAATACACAAGACAAATGAAGGCTGTTCAACTAATCACACATTTACTGACTCTGATTTATTTAATCTGCAGGTGCAGAGAAGGAAAACTACATGGGTGGAAACTTCCCTCATGGACACGTTGGACTGGGAGTTGTTGCAGTGCTTCTTGTAGCTGCTGTAGTGTTTGTTGCTGTCTGGAAATATAGAGGACGTATGATCAAGAAACCAGAACTTTCTACTGATGATGAATCAGAAGACGAAGAGCTCATCTTAAATGTCACAGACACTTCTCTTCCTGTCTGAGGGTGTGAGGTCCTGTGTCGCGCTGCAGTTTGAGACTCCTCACCATGATGGTCTGTTTCAACCAGTCATGTCTCTCCTCTTCATTTTGGGTGAATCCTGTCGTTTTGTTTGTGATGTCACTATAAGGACACTTCACTCCAGTAAAAGTACTGTAACTGTAGTCATTTCACTGGAGTAAATAATTCTCCCTCCACGAATCACTACTTTTATGGTGGAGGAGGGTTTGTGTACATGTTGATCCTGGGAGCTGTGCTGTCTGGAGCACTGAGCTCCTGGTAGGGTCTCCCAGAGCAAACTGGTCCCAGTATGGGGTCAGACTAAGGCCCCTTGGCCCTCAAAATGAAGCAACGAGGGGTAGGGGTTGAAATCTTTCCCTAGGAATTGGGACACCACTCACTACGTCACCGTGTCGTTTACGTTCACGCATACGTAACTATTTTAAACAGGAAGCTGCGAGCCATCTACATTTCCAACCGGCATCTACAATGGAGTCTCCAGTTGAGTTCATCCTACCAATCATGTTTGCATTATTCATCATGCTTAGTCTGATGAACGACAGACGACAGGGGACTTCTGCTAGCTAGCTAACATTACGAGGCAGCATAGTTATACTAGCTGGCGTGTTATCATAATGTGAAAAAATTTTGCAGAACAGGACAGATGACAGACGCCAGATAGTGCGAGCTAGCTAGCTAGCTAACAAGCAACCTGACAACGGTAACGTTAGCTGTGTGTGAACTTTTTTCCCCATCTCTTGCTCGGTGGTAGCCATGGCGACGTCTACCTTTCAAGTCAACATCTGAAATCCCTCGCTCCGAAGGGCTAGTTTCATATCCACTACCCCTCGTTATGCCCCCTACCCCTACACGCAAAAAGGAATTGGGACACCCCTACCCCTCGCGGGAACGCGCAAATGTAGAAGTAGGGCCAAGGGGTACGGCCAAGGGGGGGTATTGGGACGGGCACTAAATGTAAATCATTTCACGTGTCCATCATTTATCCCTACTCATCATGTTCAGTGAATGTGAACAGAACCTGTCAGGTTTTCCTGAAAGATTCTGCTCTGATTATGTTTCTGTAGATTTTTTAATATATTTTGTGTATGTTGCTGTTGTGTTTCTAAAAAAAAGTATGATTATTTGTGGAAAAATATACTAAAAGAAAAAAAAAAGAAAGTGAAAAGGTACTTTTTTTGGTACAAACAGTGAATGTAGTGTGTTGCTTTGCACTGATGTATTACAGACCTTGTGGGATGATATCTTTCACCATCTGAACAGAAAATGAAAATGTCAGCAGACAGACGAAGGCACCTGGTGTTTGCTTAGATTTATATATTTCCAGATAATGTTATAAAGATGATATAACCTTGTGTGTTTTATACTGAGGAGCTGATTAAACTCTGATTACTGTTAAGAAGGGTTAAAAATAAAAACACCTGATGCACAGTTCATTGTTTAGAGGGTAAGAGTTAGATTTCAGGTTTTAAATTCCTTCACATCAAATAAACTAATAAGAATGATGAGCATCTTTTCTCTGTGTTTTGTTTCCTTGTTATGTGGTTTAGTCTGTGTCCCAGGTCAGTCTGTTGTAGAGAAACAACACTGACATGTAGTCGTATACAAAGAGGATGAAGGAGGTGTTTACTTCATTCTGCTGCTGATCTCAGGTCAGCCATTTTTTTCCCTGTTGAAGGGTTTTTTGGGGAGTTTTTCCTGATCAGCTGTGAGGGTCCTAAGGACAGAGGGATGTCGTATGCTGTGAAGCCCTGTTTTGTGATATTGGGCTTTATAAATAAAATTCATTGATTGAACTGATTGTCATTTTGCAAAAGTGGCCCCTGGGCAAAGCCAGTTGGGTGTCCCTCCTCTGTGGGGACTGACTCGCTCTTCAAGTGGACACTAGAGGACATTTAGTGTTGGCTTCATTCATGCACACATGAAACATTAAGCTGATTTAGGCTAAATGAAGACAACTTTCTGAAGTTGAAGTTTTAGCATTTCCAGACTTTGACTGGATATAAATGTGTTCAGAGTGACTGAACTGTATCTGTGTGTAGCCCTAACTATGAGAAGTCTCTGACATAGTGTCCATATATTTAAGTAAATTCACTTTTTAATTTAAGTAATGCTTCCTGATGTTTTATATTTATTGTTTTTATATGCTCCTGTAAAAAGCAGCTGCTGTTTTAAGAGTGGGCGTTACAAAATGAGAAGGAGATTTATATATATATATATAAAGTTATATCAGACTGTACATGTGGTGGCAGCTCTGCTTTAGTGTCTGTGAGTGAGATGCTTCAGAGAGCAAGTTCCTGAGTGTCTACAGGCCTGTAGTGCCCCCTCCTGGCTGATGTGGGAACCTTGCTGGGATGGATCTACAGTACATCAGGTGTGATAAACAAACACACTGTCATTTCACCATCTGCCAATATGTATGCTGGTAGAAGACGGCTCAGGCCACGACAACACCAACCAGTTAGTCATTCAAAGTATGTGGTGAATAATAAATAATATGTTTAATGTTCACTCAAGTCAAGCTTCATCGTGTTCTCCTAATGTATATGCTGTGAAATATCAAAGACCTGCATCTGTATGAATAGCTGTGTACCTTAATTCCTGGAAGGCCACGTTTGTTTTTTGGTGTAATGAAGGAATGTCCCGCCCTCCTTTGCCTGTGATTGGCTAATAGTTCATTGATTGGATTGGCCACGGTTAGGGTAGATTGTAAGGGTAACCAATCAGAGGCGGAGTAAGGGGCGGGGCATTCCTTCACCGCCACAGGTAAAGCATACCTGCTAGAATTTTCTCCACAGTTCCAGACAGTTCCTCACCTCCACATTAAATGGCCGTGTGTCGGATCCGTCGTCTCGCCCTGGTCTTTGTATTCATGATCTGTGACGTCTGCTGTCGCGGTAAGTTTGCTGTGTTAATTAATGGTTAATTAAGGCCAGTTCACGTTACACGATTTTCACAGTACGCGTCGCGGAGACTGTCTAGATCTTTTGAGTGTTCGTACCTGGCGACGTGTGTTTCTGTCATCGGGAGTCTCACCAGCTCCGTCACGACCTGTGTGTGTACACCATAAGATTTCTCCACCGAGCCCTCGCCGACAGAGCCCCAGATAAACTGAACTCCCGGGCCTGGGTCCAAACACAACGCGCTCCCCGTGATCCTGTGGACGCCGCCATTGTTGTTGTTGCTTGCCGGCTTGTCAGTGTTGCCAGATCCAGAAACGAGCCCAAAAGAAGCGACGGATATATATGTATAGAGAGAGAAAGAAAGGCGCTTAGAGAGCAAGCCCAAATAAGCAACTTCACTTTAGAAACAAGCCGAAAATTTGTACTCGACTTTACAAAAAAAGGGCCCAAAGTCGGGGCTAATCATGGGGCTAACAAGGAGACCTGGCAACCCTGCACATTTCTTCCGTCCTCCTGCGTGCTGACGTAATGTGTTTTAGCTATTGTAGCTTATGAATTTTTGCAGTTTTTATTGTTGTCATTGTTTCTATGTCTGCCTTTTTTTTTAAAATTTTATTTGTGTCTATATAGACCATACTGGTCTGAAATAAAATAAAGTATAAGTATAATTCAGTTGCAGATATCTACAACGTCATTTTGACTATCTGAAACTCAATTCAAGATATCTAGAAAGGACCATGTAGATATCTTCAGCTGATGATAATTAAAGATATCCTGAACTTGGACCACTTGCCCGTCACTGAGATCCAATTCTCCCATCACAGCCGTCACTTTGACCAGTAGAAACTAGGGATGTAACGATATGGAAAATTTGATATCTCGATTATAGTGACCAAATTATCACGGTAAATGATAATATTGCCATATTTTTTTAAGTTCTGTAAAATGTCAGAAAAATAGATACATTGAAATAACTTCACTAAACCTTGTAACTTCCTTATCATACCAAAATGTTAACAGCCAACATCTTATATTAAATCTTATATTAAAATGAAACTTTCACATTAAAGGGGCAAGGGATTGGCACAGCAACAGAAAATNTTACGGTCCGGGAGGCAGACACCGTCTCCACATTTAAGACTAGACTTAAGACTTTCCTCTTTGATAAAGCTTATAGTTAGGGCTGGCTCAGGCTTGCCCTGTACCAGCCCCTAGTTAGGCTGACTTAGGCCTAGTCTGCCGGGGGACCTCCTATAATACACCGGGCACCAGTTTTAGCATTTCCAGACTTTGACTGGGTATAAATGTGTTCAGAGTGACTAAACTGTATCTGTGTGTATAGCCCTAACTATGAGAAATATATTTGTTTAAAAGGGAATAGGATAGCTAGGCTATTTCAGGATATAATACCAAGCAGAGAAACAGGAACAGTACCGTGTACTTATCCTTCAAATTGTTCCACTTCTTTTAGGCCTGCATGGCAGTCACCAGCAGGCCAGAAGTGGCAACAGATTCCCTAGGCAAAAGAAAGCAAAGACTATCACACTGCCACTTCACTAAGATATTAACCATAATGTTTGATCTGGTTCTAATCCTTCCCCTGACATACAGCCAATGCTATAAGCACTCAAAAGCAATACTCACTCCCATCCAGTCCTGGAGGAATTCCTCCTCCCCGTAAACAGCCTTTCATTGGCCCCCTGCCACTCAATGGGTGTCCGGATTTCATCAGTTGTCCCTTAATTAAATAGGGATACAATATTAGTTTTACTGCACAATAGCCATCATAACAAATATGACAACTCTGAAATAAAGACAATAACAAACAATTCGGTCAAAGTACAAAGACTGAACTGTGGTTCCATGTTAATGTTTGTGAAGCAAATTGAACAAACAAAGTAAGTTATGCACCTTTGCCATTAACAAAAACTATTCAACCAGGAACAAATAATATATCTTATATACTGAGACTGAATGTTGCCCATTAGACATTCCCCAAACGAATTACATGTCATATTTAACCACTACAGAGATATCAGCGCTGACACCGCTGTCATCTAGTGAGACCTCACATTCAAGTGGGTGCTATATTAAAACATCGACCACAGGTTTGAAGTTTAACCTACGCATGAAAACACTACATTTTGTGACAAAACAACAGTAAAATATCGGTAGTTGTGACTTACAATTGTGCGTCTTTCCCTCACTCACCATTTCCGATGATTGTTGTGAAATGCATGCTGGGATACCTGGCTGTCTGAAGTTGACACAAGTCTGCTCCAACGCATTCCCGGTAAAAGGGGCGTGTCGAGAACACATCCGGGCATTTGGACTGAACTTGGCTAGATGTGAACTTTGAATTGGAACAGCACTTGGGCTGTGACTGATGACGTGTCACAAGTCCACAAGAACACATAATAGGTTCGTTCGAGATGAGCCAGGCCTGCACAAATTCAATCACCAGCGATCGGCGCACAATGCATGCTGGTTAGTTTTGTGTTTGACTTCATCCCGACTTGCTCTGACATAAGCGGCGTTCATAGGGTCGGAAGTTCCGAGGTCCCGACCATTAACTCAGGGGAAAAGTGCTTTGAACACGTGGAATTTTTCGCTAGGAACATCGTACGGAAGTGTAGCAACCTGAGGACCCTGAGTTGACGTGGCATGATGTCACAGCAATGGCAGCCCCCTTCGCTACCGTTGAGTCAAATAATTTTTCTTAGGTAAAAAATGCATCTCAAAGACGTCTTTAAGCAAATTCTCCACTGCTACATGTAATTTGAACATTCCCTGTATAATTATACGTAGAATTAGTAATGTCACCGAGCGTCCAAGGTTCGCCTAGCTAATAAGCAATAAATGGACAGGAGTCGAGACAACGGGTTCAGCAGCCGCCGCTTCTCTCTTTATACTGAGCAGCACAGCAACACCTAATGGCACCATACATCAGCAAAACGTCTTTGACCTCTTCGTTTAGCCAAAAAGTCTAACAACGAGCGAAAACCTTCTTGAGGGCATGCATGTCAGTTTACGTCCAAGGTCCGATGTGAGGTGATGAACGCACTTTTTCCAGAAGTAGGGGCTTTTCACGTCAGGTCCTTGGAAACCTCCGAGCCCTATGAATGCAGCTATATTACAAAAGTGGACGGCGATAAAATCGCGAGAGTGAGGCGGCCGCAGTTTTTAGAGCCAGGTGCTGCAACTGCACGGTCTGGCTCTCACCTGATCTAACAGCTGATTGGTTCACATGTCAACTCAACAATATGACGTTTTAGATAAAGTATTCATTTTTGTTGAATTTCAAAGATCTAGATTTGATGTGTCTGATTTGAAGGTTTATTCTGTGACTGAAAACATGTTGTGTGACTGATGGTGAAGTTTAGTTGTCACAGACTGAATACATTCATCATAAACTATACAGAGTCTACTGTGTATTAACACTGGACTGTTTCATTATTGATGTAGCCTATTTAGCGTGTTGTCTTGTATCAAATATGAAGCTTACAGTCAGACACAGTGTATTCAGCCTGTGTAGCTGAGGGGACAGGTCATACTGATATGATGCTGATTTACAGGAGAGTTCATGAACCATCAACAGAAACTACAGTTTAATAAATCAATCTATCATAATTAAAACAACTGGAGACTGAGAACAAACTGATATATGAGTCTGATTATATTTTAATAAATCACTATCATATCTGACAGGATGTGAGTGTTCCTGTGACTTCCTGTACAGACTGAAGGCTGCTGGAAACTGTCAGACTTCACCGCAGCTTTTTGTCACCGCCTCCTGCTGCGGCCGCCTGCTCTTGTCTACTCTCCAGGCGAGGTGCAGTTCATCTCCAACGAGCCTATTGCCATATGCTCCTCCCTCCCTCCACTCTGTTATTTCCTGTGCTGCAGTAATCCACCCATCGCTTTGCACACGGCACTATCTTGGGTGTTTGCCAGACGCTGTTCTCGAGATGAAGACAGAAAAGAAGGACGTGGTGGACTGTGTCCGTGTTGATCAACGACGGTGCTCAGGCTTCAGGTGAGAATGTCAAACTTAAATATGATTATTAGCTTTTGTATTTAAGTGTGTTTGAACTGTGTGATTGTGCTCTGGTGTTAAATAAAGCAGCGTATGTGCTGCAGTCCCTCTCTAATGTGTGGAGCCTGTGTATCTATAAAACCCTCCTGGCTCACACATGTTCCTCTTGTGTGTCGTTAGTTTCTGTCAAGTCACAATGTGTAGTTACAGGTCGATGAAGGAGGAAACAAGAGGCAGCTGCTCGGTTCATGAAATGGCCGCGTGTCGTGTCAGCCATTAGGGCGGTCACACTGGGTTCAGGCCTCAGAGCTGCTCTAAGAAACAGGCTGTGAAATGACTGAGTGTGTGTCAGTCTGCAGTGATCACTGACACTGGTGTTAATTTACTCTCTGATAGAATAACACGAGGCACCTGAGTGAGGACCTCTTACACTGTTTATGTGACACATTCAGAGGAGTCTTATCAGCAGCTTTACTTTACACGCCATACACATTCTGTACAGTAGGTGGCGTATGCACCTTTAAGTTGTCTGACATCCACCGATGGCATAAGAGAGAGTGTTTGCGGTTAGCATCAGTCTGTGGGAGCTAACGTTACATGTCAACTGAGCTATGTCACGTAGCTACATTATATTTGGGCAACTTGTGGCTCTGATACTTTCTCTGTCAGCAGCAGGTGAGTGTGTGTGTGTGTGTGTGTGTGTGTGTGTGTGTTGTAATTCTGTGTGGCAAAGTTTACGGTTTGTCCGAAGCATTTGTTGTGCGTAAAAGTGTCCTCTGTATCGTCGTCCCGTTGACAGACGATGCTATTAAGCTAGCAGGCGGCACTGCCAGTAACGTTAGCTGCTGCTAGCCGCGGCGGTGGCGTGTGTTTGTGTGAATAACAGCTGGTAGACGGATGCTACCGTCGTATATCGTCACTGCTCATCAGATAGAGTGTCTGTCAGTAAAATGCGGACCATTATACCTGCCACGGCGGGAGTTTGCTGATGTTGTTGTGACAGCCGTNTGAAAAGCCACTGACGGTGCGAGACGCACTGCAAAAACTAGGGCGACAGACGCTCACCGACGGCCTGACTTTGGTTGACGGCCAACCGTCGGCTTGGTGTGTCAGGGCCTTAAGCCATTAAATGTTTAAACATCTTGCCATAGGCGACTTGTTCATAGGCTTGTTCACACACGAGGACTTGTCGTGGCAGACTGTCGGCTGACTCACCTCCGACCCAAGGTGGCTCTCAAGATCCTCTGTGACGTCAAAATCGCGGTCAAAATCGTGTAATGTGAACTAGACCAGTTACCATGGTGATTTTGTAATAAGTGAACCGGCAAAATGTGTTTGGTAGATTTTACATATTTGGTAACCTTGAATTTAAGGCTGCACATAACAAAAAAATGTTTTAGTTATTTAATATAATGATTTTTTTCCCCCCGATTATTCTAACCACTAATTTATTGATTTGATTTTTTTTCTTGCTTCATTAGACGATTTAACAAAAACAGAAAAAATTGTCTCATTAATATTTAAATATTTTATTCAGTCGTCGTGTCTCTACTATTAACAACGACAAGGACAAATGCAACGACAAGGAGAAGAAGAATTGTCAGATAGTTAGTTTGATAGTTTCCATCTTTCTGCTCTGTTATTTTTATTAACATATGTTTTTTTTTTTTGTGTGTGTATGTGTGTGTTTTTCAGGTCAGGTGTTCAGCCCTCACCTTGGACAGAATATCACTCTGACATGTCAAGTTTCCAACAGTGCCACCATCGTAGCTGTATGGTGGGCCAGACGAGACCTGAAGTCAGAATATGTCTTCTATTACCGGGATGGGCAGTCTGATACCGACATCCAGCATCCATCCTTCCAATGCAGGGTGGTGTTGGCGGAGGATGAGCTGAAGGATGGCAACCTGTCCGTGGTCCTGATGAATGTGAACAGCAGCGACTATGGAGAATACACCTGTGGCTTTAAGGAGCGCAAAGAGGGAACAGTTGTTAAGAATGAGTTCACCTGCAACATCACACTGATAAAACCAGGTTGGTTGGTGCTGTTATTGATGTGNTATCGTCACTGCTCATCAGATAGAGTGTCTGTCAGTAAAATGCGGACCATTATACCTGCCACGGCGGGAGTTTGCTGATGTTGTTGTGACAGCCGTCGACATACCGCCGGATGCTAATGCTAGCTTACTAGCTAACAGAATCAAACACTTGTGTCGTGATCTACACTGAGAATCATTCAGCTGAACTCAAACAGGCAATAACGGGTCAACACTGCTTTTAATGTTATCTTTGTATATTTATTGATTTGGGACTATTGTGTCTGTGTTGTATTTTTATTACTGTCTATTTTTCTGTTTTTTAGATTCAGGCATGGTCCAGCAAATATCATTGTACCTTGTTCTATTCTCAGTATAAGACTGACCATAGAACATTATGTGGCTTAAAGGATCTGCTGATGTTAATCGACACATACTTGATCATGATAGTCCTCTCTGTACGTGTCCTGAGATGTGCATCACAATCACAGCCTCACACAAACATCTGCCAAACAGTTAATTTAAAACTTTGTGGGATTCATTACATATGTGATGTGTCTTTACGTTGAACTGTGACGATAAGGGACTGGGCAGCACAGGTGTCTCTGTTAATGCTTGTTTACAAAACTGTATTCAGATTATTGATGTGATATCAAGTGGACCTGTGAGCTGTCTGTGCTTTCCTACAGCCTGTGAGTTACACATAGAGTCACAAGTGTTGGCATGTAGTGTGGAGCAGCTCACTGTGGGAACATATGATGCGCTCAGATTGACTTGTGATACTATCATCGATCATGTTTTACATCAAAGGTTAGAGACTTTCTCTCATCCGGAGGCGGCTCATGATTGGTCAGTTTTGTTGGGTAGAAAAGTCAATTGCCTCCATTTATGGGAACACACTCAGTGCCTGAAGAAGAAAACCTTGTTAACAAAAACAGTTGATGAGCACCGTCATGTTAGCTGTGACCTGTGAGAGGAGCTTTTGTGTCAGCTGACACAAAGAGGTTGACTGTTAAACTGACTTCATGTTACACCTCTGTGGTGGGACGAGGCCTTCTGTTTACACTGTAGAGACCTTAAGAGATGGAATCACATTTTGACCCTGGATGTTAATTTCTTTTATTGTTTTCCAGACTCTTCTGTGGTACACGTGCACCCTGGAGATGATGTCACTCTGAGATGTGAGGCTGGTGATGTCTCCATCTTAGCTGTAGAGTGGACCAGACCTGACCTGGAGCCACCACAGTACATCCTCTTTTACAGAGATGGACACTTCGACACAGCCTTCCAGCATCCATCCTTTACAGGCAGGGTGGAGCTGGTGGACAGAGAGCTGAAGGACGGAGACGTGTCTTTAACTCTGAAGAATGTGACCAGCAGAGACTCTGGAATATACGAGTGTCGAGTTATATCAGTTGGATTTATACGTACAAAGAGAGCCATCATTTATTTTGATCCAATCATAGTCATCTACCTGGAGGTTATAGGTGAGTGTGTGGAGCTCAGTGTGTGTGTCTGTGTATCAGGTTGGAGCTGCAGTTTATTCCTGAGAGTCAAACATCAGAAATACACAAGACAAATGAAGGCTGTTCAACTAATCACACATTTACTGACTCTGATTTATTTAATCTGCAGGTGCAGAGAAGGAAAACTACATGGGTGGAAACTTCCCTCATGGACACGTTGGACTGGGAGGTGTTGCAGTGCTTCTTGTAGCTGCTGCAGTGTCTGTTGCTGTCTGGAGATATAAACGACGTACAGACCAAAGATCAGAACTGTCTGCTGCTGTTGATGAAGCAGGAATCTATCAGCTCATGTTTACCTCTGCTGTTTGAGACTGTTCCTCAGGTCTGCGCCTTCGGACCAAGGACACAACAAAGACTGCACCTGGAGCCACAGCTCTTTCCAGCCTTCATCTGCCTACTAACGAATGTAGCACACCACAAAGTGACTCTTTCTTCCATCCACTCGAGGAAAGTAGCCTCGAACATCTTGACCATGTCTGGCCTTAAAAACTTGGCAGGACAAGCTCGAGCTCACTTCTCTCACTGAACAACAGACAGTGGGAGAGGGGAAAAAGGGAAAGAAGGAGAAACTGTAAAACTTATTTATTTATTGTAAAATTGGTTGAGATTATTAAGTTGTGAAACACAAAACTCATTCAAGCTGTTGTTACACTTTATTTTTTCTAAAATGAATGACTTTATTTTAAGATGCAATTTTTCAAAAGCTTTAATTTATTTTCTCACTTTTATTTTTAAACACATATCTGTAGAGTTCGATGTTAAGTGACAATAAATATTGTTGAAATGTTTATGAATCATGTTTTCTTTATGATTTGACAGTCAGACGTTGATACAACTACTAGGCTACTTCAGTATATCGCACTAAATCATGTTCCACATTATGATGATCCGGACCTTTTGCGTAAGGTAATTTTCTCTAACTGGACCTCTTTGAATGTAGTTGAATACCCCTGGTATAGTGTTTAATGTTGATTTCTTTATGTCTGTTTCATATGTTGTGTTTTTATGGCTGCAGTAAATAAGTTCACTCCTCCATAAAGCACTGCCTTATATACAGTGAATGCAAATATGATATTAAACATTATTTAATCTTTCATCTTTGGTGGCTGTTTTACACCTGCTGTTACAATAGAGACATTTCACTCAAAGACACTGATACTTCAAAGACACTTAACTCAGATACAAATACAGTTTCTTGTGAAAAATATATTCAGATAAAAGCAAAGCCAAAGTTAAAATATACTTTTAAAGCAGTAAAAACCTGGAATAAGCAGCCGTCACAGAGATGAAGAGACAATACAAACTCAGCAGCTGCAGTTTATAAAAGTACTGAAGTGCAAGTTAGATCCCACTGAACACTTTATGCTGTATTATTACTGTAATTATCTGTGTATTTACTGTATGGGAAAGTCAAATGCCTCCCTTATATGGGACTGGCAGGATCAGTGGGGCTCCCCGTGGTACATACCCTCGGGGGGCCAAGCGGTGTGGCTCGTCTGTCACTGCACTGGTTCTTGATGTGTTGCTCCAGCTCCTCCTTACTGATGTCTAGCTTCCCGCTCCTCATCCAGCAACTGTCGGGCATACTTGTAGGGATCTCTGAAGAAGCCGGCTCTTTACTTCCTCCTCCTCCTGATTCTCTCAACTCTCCGCAGCCTGCCAAGGCTTCATTTGAGTTCATCCCACAGCTCCTTCAGGCCACCTTTCTCCTCAGATGCAGCTTTCTGACGGTGCTGACGCCTGGCTGTGATTAGCTGCTCGATCTCCTTCTCTCTCCTTCCTTTCCTTGGGGCTGTGGGCTCCTACTCCTACTAGTTCCTACTGACTTCACCAAACCTCTGTCTGCACTCTTCAAAGATGATCTCCCCAAAGATGTTGAGCTTGTTCTCGACACTTCCTCGCAATGCCAGCTCCAACAGCTGGCTCAAGGCAACGTCAAGGTTCTGCCATGCTACCCGATCATTTGCTTTAGGCCACTTGATCTTGTTCTGGTGGGATAATAGGGCACTATGAGCTCTCTAAGATATGACGGAGCTTGACCATTTAGAGCTTTATAAGTTAACAGTAGGATTTTAAATTCAGTTCTGGATTTTACAGGGAGCCAGTGCAGTGAAGCTAAAACAGGAGAAATATGATCTTGTTTCTTAGTTCCTGTTAGTACACGTGCTGCTGCATTCTGAATTAGCTGGTTTCATTAGTCTTTTGCATCCCTTGATTGTACTCAAATACTCAAATGGGAATGACTGGCCCATAGACAATTCAAATGTTCTTCTGAAAATGGCTGTCATTTCTTCTCTAAGTTGTGCTTCGGACCAGTCAGATGTAAAGGAGATCTTTCCAATAAGGCCATCTTGTGCCAGTTTTGATCTTGAGTCTCCTCTGGGAATGCGGAACGTTGACGCTAAAGACAAAGGCAAGCACACAACATCCTTGTATTGTGTTTGCAGGCCTTGTTTTTTTCTCACAAAACATGAGTGTGTAGAATGTCTTTGAGGAACTGATGGAAGGGAAACCTGAAATCAATGAAAACCAGAGATTTAACATTAACATTTAGATTTAATATTTAGATTTAGATTTAATATTTAGATTTAGGTTTAGCATTTAGATTTAACATTTAGATTTAGGTTTAGCATTTAGATTTAACATTTAGATTTAGGTTTAGCATTTAGATTTAACATTTAATATTTAGATTTAACATTTAGATTTAGAGTTAATATTTAGATTTAACATTTAGATTTAGATTTAACATTTAGATTTAGATTTAATATTTAGATTTAACATTTAGATTTAGATTTAATATTTAGATTTAACATTTAGATTTAGATTTAACATTTAGATTTAGATTTAATATTTAGATTTAACATTTAGATTTAGATTTAGATTTAATATTTACATTTAACATCTAGATTTAGATTTAATATTTAGATTTAACTACTTAATATATCTCCATGTTAAATGTTAAAAAATTCGCACCATTTTTTTAAACAGTTTGAAGCTAAATGTGGCAAAATGTTGCTGTTATTTTCAGTGTGAGCAACTTTACAAATGGCACCCCATAGCAGTTATCTGTGAAAGTGGGAGGCGGGAGCGGCTTGCTATTCAATGAATCAAACCCATTCAAGTCATTGACCACTGCAGCAGTATTTCTCCAGCCTAGCTATGAAATGCTAAAATGGGTTTTTAACGCTGCAGCCTGTGCACGACAGGAGCTGTGGGCGAGAAATGCAGACGGTTTACTGCTTTTCTTCTGCTAACACCGTTCAGTTGTATTGTTACTGAGCCAACATCCAATGGAAAGCTTGCCATAATGAGCAACAAATGGGATGCCTCGCATGAGCAATGTCTCGCACAACAATTCTGAGTCGTCATAATTACGCTTGAGATATCTTTAACTTCCATTCTGCCTAATCGAAACTGAATTACAGATATCTGTAATTGTGATTTAGGATGTGTGACGAGTCGAGTGTCGTTTTCAGTGACGTCATTGCTGATATCTGAATTACAGATATCTCTAACTGTCGTTTTGACTGGTCAGAATGAAGATGTAGATATCTATAATGTTAATTCCGGATAGTCAAGCTTATCCATTTAATGTTAGAACGGCTTGCCATAACAAGTCCAGGGGGTGGAGATTTGAATTCAGCCTATGACTGCAAGAAGCGCAAGTCATGTACCACATGAGGCTCCTCCCTCCTCCTCTTCCCTCTGCTGCGTCCATTTTGATTGTGAAAGTTTGTGGCAGTGACGGGGTGCTCAACAGCCGCCATGACTGAACTGATGGAGGACAAGAAGGACGTGGTGGACTGTGTCCGTGTTGATCAACGACGGTGCTCAGGCTTCAGGTGAGAATGTCAAACTTAAATATGATTATTAGCTTTTGTATTTAAGTGTGTTTGAACTGTGTGATTGTGCTCTGGTGTTAAATAAAGCAGCGTATGTGCTGCAGTCCCTCTCTAATGTGTGGAGCCTGTGTATCTATAAAACCCTCCTGGCTCACACATGTTCCTCTTGTGTGTCGTTAGTTTCTGTCAAGTCACAATGTGTAGTTACAGGTCGATGAAGGAGGAAACAAGAGGCAGCTGCTCGGTTCATGAAATGGCCGCGTGTCGTGTCAGCCATTAGGGCGGTCACACTGGGTTCAGGCCTCAGAGCTGCTCTAAGAAACAGGCTGTGAAATGACTGAGTGTGTGTCAGTCTGCAGTGATCACTGACACTGGTGTTAATTTACTCTCTGATAGAATAACACGAGGCACCTGTGTGAGGACCTCTTACACTGTTTATGTGACACATTCAAACAGCTTGTCCTTTACACGCCATACACATTCTGTACAGTAGGTGGCGTATGCACCATCCATCGATGACATAAGAGAGAGTGTTTCCGGTCCAGCGGTTAGAGTGTTGCAGCTAGCAGTGTGAGTTACATGTCAACTGAAGTATGTATCATAGCTACATTACATTTGGGCAACTTGTTGCTCTGATATCTACATGGATACTGTGTCTGTCAGCAGCAGCAGGTGAGTGTGTGTGTGTGGTAATTCTGTGTGGCAAAGTTTACGGTTTGTCCGAAGCATTTGTTGTTCGGTAAAAGTGTCCTCTCCCCCGGCTAAGGCTACATACTGCTCTATGGTGAGTCTTGAAGTTGTGACATTACTACCGTGTAGTGTCGTTGATCTGGGAGCTTCATACGGAGGCTAACGTCACATAAATGTGCCCATTACGAACCTTTAGTATCGGTCGGCCTTTCCATGAATCACCCTGCCGAGCATGATGCACCGAAGGCGGCGGAGAGAACGCAAACAGACCGTGGTTCCCGGCTAAAGAGCTAGCAAGGCTAAAGAGCTAGCAAGGCTAAAGAAACCCCAGGCTCGGTGTAGCTAACGCTATAGGGCCCCGGGTATCAAAGAGGATGAGCTGAGGCTGGATTTATCATCCCGGACAGCCACCCGGGACGCCTGCGTGATGGTTATTCCACAAACCCGGCTTCGTCCCGTTGTCAGACGATGGTATTAAGCTAGCAGGCGGCACTGCCAGTAACGTTAGCAGCTACTAGCCGCGGCGGTGGCGTGTGTTTGTGTGAGTAACAGCTGGTAGACGGATGCTACCGTCGTAGATCGTCACTGCTCATCAGATAGAGTGTCTGTCAGTAAAATGCGGACCATTATACCTGCCACGGCGGGAGTTTGCTGATGTTGTTGTGACAGCCGT